TCTTTGAAATAGCTAGCAGCGAATAGACATCAGGATTCCACTAAATGACTCTTGGTCAGACTTGGTAATGGAAATGTAACGAGCATCTGAGGAACACATGAACACTAATGTTATATCAGTGTTAACTCCTTAGTGAATAAAGCTGGTCTAAGCTTTAGCAACAGCTCAACACATATTCCTGTAGCATAGCGTAGCATGCAGTCCATTCTTTAGCATCAATTAGCGTTGTCTTTACTCAGCAGTAAACACACAATATGATTAGCATCATCAAAACACACATTGCTTGTTCTGTCCCTAATCATGCCAGACCTGCAAACCTTTTTCCATGTCCGTTTGGAAAGCTTGAGTTTTATCCAGTTTTGCAGCTCTGCAGTCAGGGACTCATTGTCTCAGTCTCACAGCAGGGGTCCCCTCAGTCTCACACCCAGGGCATGGTTCTCATCCAGTTTGGCTCTGTAAGTTCTGAAACTCAAGAGAAATGTGTTGCAAAAGTTCTGTTTGCAGCAGTTTGGTTCTGAAGAGTTCTGACTCATCCTTGATGGTTCTGGGGATCTGGTTCCCCTGGGGCCTGCATCTCCACTGTGGGCCACAGTGGGCCCCAGCTTTGAGCGCAGGAGCAGAAGGGAGCAAAAGAGAGGAAGAGGCAGAATCCTGTGTGCTCTGTGGTTTTGTTCTGTCCTCACAGGGAGGGGGGTAGGTTTCAGGTTTCCGTCATTCAGACAGCGAGCTCAACAACAGCCAGATGCATGTCTCCCTCCGCCTAGCTCCTAGCTGGGCGGAGGGAGACATGCATCTGGCTGTTGTCAGGTTAGTAGGCCCTAGCTGTCTGAATGACGGCGCGCACTGATACGAACAGAGAGAAAATAGGACCAATTGATAACGACGTGTGACTTTTTCCACTACAATGTTTTTGGGATGCAAAAATATCACTCTTTTGAACACATAATGTTTTGGGAAGAGAAACGTTTTATTTCGCTGGGTCTAGCAAACCTGCCGGACTACTTTCGGCTTGACCAAAACTGGACAAGAACTCTGCTCACAGGACGCTGCCAGGGGTAAGTCAGTGTGATTGCATGACACTGGTGATGGGGATGCCATACAGATTCATGTCAAAAATACCGAACTATCCCTTTAATGGCACTGTGATCAGATCCATTGACTTATTTTAGTCAATTATTACTGAAGGTTTCTCTGAAAACAGATCTTTAAAATAAACATTTAATTACAGATTCTAACAGAACCGATAATTTTATGGAAGTGATCATTCTGTCCTTATGATTTACTGATCATGAGCTGCATGTCTACAGCTGGTGGGATGGATTCACCAACAGGGATTACAATTTCTACAGATACTTTATACAAATTTAACAAGAAATAAAAAATCAGTGAGTCAATGAATATATCATTAGTGTAATAATATAATAGCAGCAGTGTTACATGAATGAACACAAGCATAGTCGGCTGGAAGGTCACTGATTGTAGATGAAAAGGTTTTCCATATTTTAGTTACATTAGTTATTGTTGTAGGCCATTAAAATCAAGGGTAAAATCCAATAATAAACATGAATTAAATGATTAGAACTGGAATTAGCTTTTTCACCAAGACTCATTCATCTTACCTGTAAGATTGAACACCAGTTAAAATCCAGTTAGTCTTCTCCACCAGTAACTATGATCAGATGGGCAATGGTTATAAGCAGAGTTATTAATCAGCCGCTGAGGTAAACTGTCTGTTTGTTCAAGTGTTAATAAAACGCTGCTCAACTCTTAGAAAAAAATCAGTCACTGTTATAAAATACACCTATGAAAATAATGTGTATTTATATTGAACCTAATAATCCCTCACAGTATTCTAGTTGGAAGTTATATTCATTAAGTTATATTATTATATTAATTATACACCTGCCCAGGTGTGTTATCAGGCCCTGGGGCCTTCCATGGATTTGGTGAATTAATAATGACCATAAAGGGATGTCAACCCAGTAGGTCTCCAGGCTCCACTATCGATTTACTCTGAACTCAGGTTTGATCTTAAGAGATTTTCTAAGATTTTCCATCCGACACCTGGATCTTCCTTAATGGATAATGAACACTTACCAATAAGCCTAAGTAATGATGTTAGTGGATGAGATGCTACTGTTGTCAAGGCAACCAATCCCTAAGCGGTTAGCAACAGCTAACCAACAGATTGCAAACGAGCTACTGCAAGTCAAGCTAATTCTAGTTTGTTAGCAGATGGGCTAGGATGGCAGCCACAGCCCAGGAACTAAAAGATGTCGGACCTGTGCCTAAACAGGTGATAAACTGAACTGCTCTTCACTGCCGACACACAGATGCATTCAAGTGGTAACATGACTAACTTCATCTCTACGGAAAGTGAGAAATGAAAATAGAAAAAAAAAACACATATAGACACAGCTCTATGAAGAAAGGAAACAGCAGCTGTGACATTAAAAGCACAACATTTGAATGTTTGTTAATAACATCAGCAAAAATCAGGATATCATTTCTTTAAATTAGTTCACTGGAAAAAATTTAAACTTTCCTTTTTGATAAAGCTTCTAGTTAGAGTGGCTCAGGTTATCCTGATCTATCTCTATAGTTCTGCTGCTATAGGCTTAGACTGCTGGAGGACATAGGGACCCCTTTTTCATCATTCTGCTTCATTCTATCTCTATTCTCCCACTCTGCAGAATCTGTTAGTTCAATCTCTAACGTTCTGCTCTCTCTGCTTTTTCTCATAGTAGCTTCATCTGGTCTGTTCCTGTTTGGCTGTGACTCCATCCTGGAGAGAAATATCAGCTGTGCTGCTGCCATCAACACCTTTGTTTCTAGATGTTGGAGCTTGGCCTGTTTTCCAGTGTAGTCCTGTTTCTCTGACTGTGACTAACTGGATGTGCTCTCTTCATCCTCTGACATGGGAGCTGGCTCGGAGCTCGTCTGCCTGGCTGTGTGTTTCCTGGACGGGGCCGCCTGTGGAGCTGGTTGACAGTTGCCTTTTGTATCTATGCTTCTTTTTCTATGTCTGCTTCTGTCTCCTTGAACCCCAGTGGGCCTCAGCAGATGGCCGCTCACACTGAGCCTGGTTCTGCTGGAGGTTTCTTCCTGTTCAAAGGGAGTTTTTCCTCTCCACTGTCGCTACAAGCATTCTTAGTGTGAGGGATTGCTGAAGAGTCAATGAGTCGATGCAATCAGCTGGTTTTCCTTAGATAGAAAACTTTGAATCAATCTGACTGGATGATCTGGTGAACTGGAAAGTGACCTGAGATGACATGATGTGAATTGGAGCTATAGAAATAAACTGAATAGAACTGAATATCTTCCAAACTGGAAACCAGTTCCTGCTTTAAAGCTTTGTCATTTAAATAATCTCTGTCTGGAGAAAAGTGAGTCTATTTGATAATAACATCTGAAGTTCTGCTGATTCCTATAGAAACAATAAAGTAAATTTGAATCATTGATTATCCTGTTCTGTTCAGACTCTTAAAGGAGGCGGTCACATTTTCCTGCTGCTCCTGCACCTCCCTGCCTGTCTCTGATTCGCTGTGACTTTTCTGAGCTCTCCATTCATACCACCCAAACTAAAAAAAATAGATCTGGTCAGCTGGTCTCTCAATGCAATTGATCAAATTTATTCAACTGGCAGACAGGGAAGCGGAGACCCGTCCTGTCCTGCTGGGACATACTTCATGGGATTCACCATAGATTCCTGGAAAGTGTGGAGGATGGTGTTTTTCACAACGCTGCCACTGGAGGATATTGAAGATGTTCGGATTTTTGGTTATATGATACTCGGATTTCTCCTGTTTGGATTTGGAGGATACCTGATGTATCTTCAATTACAGAGGATGTCGGCAGCAATTTGGGCATCGATCAGGCTGCCGGCAGCGGTTGACCCCCTCACAAAGGCTGTGAACAAGCAGGACCATGAGCTGAACCGTGTGCTGGGTGCGATTGAACGCAGGCTGGTTGCATTGGCTGAACTCAAAGGGGAGGGGGTTAACATCTTGGATGTGTACGCTCGCTTCAAGGTGGAAAAGTTCAACAAATTTGAAATTTTTGATTTCACCAAGAAAGATCGAGCAAGACAAAAACTCGAGGCTGAAGGAAATTCCTGTGCAGCCTGCTCTCAAAACAATAAGTGTTATTCTGGATTCACATCCCCCCCCCCCCATCTAATCTCCCCTGGATGTTATGGCGAAAGGGCACAGAAGAACTGCTCCCCCCTCCCCATAGCTGCCAACTTCTGTGGATGTGCTTAGTGACTGTTGATAAACTTCCACCTTATCAAGGACATTGCCTGTGGTCAGCGTTAATATGTCAGATTGACTTAATGTGACTCCGCCTCCAATGTGACCCTCTGCTGAAATGTCTGTCTTGTGTTTACATGTGCTTTATTGTGCGAGGGTTTTTTATATCTCAAACTGTATTCTGTCAAGGACAAATTGTGAAATATGTGTTTTTCTCCTCTTTTCTACAATGTGGCTCCTCTTTCCACAGAGATAAAAGCAGCACTAAAGGTAACTGCCTGGACCTGGGCAGCCAGGTAACCGGTGGCAACCTGGCTGCCATAAGAATGCACCGTTCTGCCGGATGGCAGCGTTCTTTGGCACGCATGGCCTCAGTCAATGCGTTCCCCCCTCTCAGTCCGCCGCACCCCAATGTATGTGACGTATTGCGATGAATGGTTTTAATGAAACTGAAATTTCGATTGCAATGTAAACTGTAGTTGACAATAAAGATAGATTGATGGATTAATTAAATCATAATTGATTTTCAGAAATCAGTTTCTGATCTTCAGGATGAATTTCAGCTGCTGGGTTAGAAGAAACAAATAATAAAAATAAAAAACATCCTGATTTCCTGATATATTTGATCTGAGTTCCAACATCTTCTATCAGATTCTACCTGGAGAGAAACAACACTGATGACATCACAGCCCTCCTGCTCTATGATTGGCTGCAGGGTGTGCTGGGCTGCAGCAGCAGCTGGACTTTCCCCTCAGTTTATGTCAGAGTTTAACAGAGACTGAAGATGAAGATGAAGCTGCTGCTCTTCCTCTGCTCCGTGCTCTGGGTCCACGCTGAGGGTGAGTTAGACTGGTTTAAATGGTTAAACTGGTTCTGATAACCAGATGAGAATATTTACCTTTTTTTCCTCCAACATTAATTACTATAGGTTATCATAATTAAACGTAGATATAAATGTTTTCACAGAACCACCAGAATCTTGTCTATAAGCTGCCATAAGCAATTTCTACTGAAAAACACGATTAAAACAAAAAGATGTTGAATCAGAGAGTAAAAATGGGCTCTCAGCTGCTAGGAAGACAACTTCGACTGAAACAAGCTTCTTTCTGGAATCTAACAGATTCCAGTTTGGTCCCAAACACATTACAGCTTTCTGATGAACACCCTTCGTCTGCCAATCTACTTTACTAGCTCTTTCTTCTCTCCATTCATCCTTGTTCTGATCCAGATATAACTAGTTAGTTAAACAAAGAAAATATTCCAATTTCCAATTCCTTCATCTCTGTGCAGTTGCTGCATAGTGAGATCCATGTTCAGCAGTCATATAGAATAGATTCTAAAGGCTTTTTAATGATAAAAATCATAGGTAATTTGTGGAATTTATCCAAACTGGAGTAGCACCCCCAGTAAAGCTGGTTACTGGCCGTGGTTTAGAGTTTAGAGCATAACTCTAGTATAGAGTGCAGCCTAACATGCTTTATATCTGACCTCTCTGCATGTTCGCTCATTTCTGGTTTGATTGATGTGTTTGGAGACGAATAGTTTCCCAGTCTACTAACAACTAAGGACACCCTAACATCTACACCAGTGGTTCCCAAAGTGTGGGGCGCGCCCCCTAGGGGGGGCGCAATGCCATTGCAGGGGGGGCGCGGGAAGCGGTATGGATGAATGAAGAAAAAAAAAAAAAAAAAAACAGCGCTTGCTTGACTGAGCATAATGGACAGTTGTGACATTGCAACCCAGATTTGAGAAGATCTACAGCAAAAAGCAGGCTCACTACAGCCACTGAAAAGATGGGAGGATTAAAGTACAAAGAAAAAACTCTCAGGGAGCTGTTCAATGTTTTCACTCCATTTTGCACAGAGGCTTTTTTAATGTATAGATTATAGCAAAGTTAAATATTGTTACAAATAAAAAAAAAGAAATATGTTTAAAATAACAGAGACAACAAAGAATCCTCTTCTAATCTACATTATAGAACTATGAAAAAATACAGTTACACAAAAGTATTCCACTGTAAAGATGGTGTAGTTTGTTTTCTTGCAACCTGAAGTGTGAAATAAACTTCAGTGGAGTTTGAAAACAAAATATGTGTAAAGGTTTATTATATCTGGTTGAACGATGTGTGTGCCCAGTTTATTTTTTTTTTTTTGGGGGGGGGGGGGGGGGGGGGTTGATGGGGGGGCGCGGAAATTTTATTGTAATCCAAAGGGGGGCCCAGAAGAAAATCTTTGGGAACCACTGATCTACACCATCCTTCCTAAGGGGAACATTTTAGCCCCGCCCCTTGTTCCCCTGACTACATCTAATGTTTTCATGGACCAATAAAAAACTAGAATTTTATTACAGATGTTCCGTTCCTCTTCCTCATCTCCTCCTCTCTGCTCCACCTTCTCCTCTGTGGCGACCTACAGGTGATCAGAAGAAGCTCCTTGTTTTTCACTGAATCAAAGGTTTACTAATTAATAGCTTTAATAAAATACACATCCTGCTCATGCAGTTCTGCAAGGTAGATAATAATGATGAATGAAACACTTCATGTTAACCTGCTGTTCCTACACTTCCAGCTAATATTACATATTATTTTCCATATTATTCCACCCCCACCCCCCACCCAGGCTGGATTAGTGACATCAGGGGCCCCTGGCACTGAGGCTTCAGGCCCCCCTCTAACCCAAACACCCACACCCTCCAAGGAGGCCCTAACCCAGTTATTGATGACCAACTAACTGCAGACACCTGATAGAAGCTCACTCAGACGAGTTTTACACACACCCATGTCTTTAATTGATGTCCATTCATTTCTATGGCCTGACCCCGACCCAAATCCTAACCATTACCGACATCTAACTAACCCTAACCATTACCAACATCTAACTAACCCTAACAATTACCGACATCTAACTAAACCTAACCATTACCGACATCTAACTAAACCTAACCATTACCAACATCTAACTAACCCTAACAATTACCGACATCTAACTAAACCTAACCATTACCAACGTCTAACTAACCCTAACCATTACCGACATCTAACTAAACCTAACCATTACCAACATCTAACTAACCCTAACAATTACCGACATCTAACTAAACCTAACCATTACCAACGTCTAACTAACCCTAACCATTACCAACATCTAACTAACCCTAACAATTACCGACATCTAACTAAACCTAACCATTACCAACGTCTAACTAACCCTAACCATTACCGACATCTAACTAACCCTAACCATTACCAACGTCTAACTAACCCTAACCATTACCAACATCTAACCAACCCTAACCATTACCAACGTCTAACTAACCCTAACCATTACCGACATCTAACTAACCCTAACCATTACCAACATCTAACTAACCCTAACCATTACCAACATCTAACCAACCCTAACCATTACCAACATCTAACTAACCCTAACCATTACCAACATCTAACTAACCCTAAGATTACCAACATCTAACTAACCCTAAGATTATCAACATCTAACTAACCCTAAGATTACCAGCATCTAACTAAACCTAACCATTAGCAACATCTAACTAACCCTAAGATTACCAACATCTAACTAACCCTAACCATTAGCAACATCTAACTAACCCTAAGATTACCAGCATCTAACTAAGCCTAACCATTAGCAACATCTAACTAACCCTAAGATTATCAACATCTAACTAACCCTAACCATTACCAACATATGACCAACCCTAACCATTAACAACATCTAACTAACCCTAACCATTACCAACATCTAACTAACCCTAAGATTACCAACATCTAACTAACCCTAAGATTATCAACATCTAACTAACCCTAAGATTACCAGCATCTAACTAACCCTAACCATTAGCAACATCTAACTAACCCTAAGATTATCAACATCTAACTAACCCTAAGATTACCAGCATCTAACTAACCCTAACCATTAGCAACATCTAACTAACCCTAAGATTACCAACATCTAACTAACCCTAACCATTACCAACATCTAACTAACTCTAAGATTACCAGCATCTAACTAACCCTAACCATTAGCAACATCTAACTAACCCTAAGATTATCAACATCTAACTAACCCTAAGATTACCAGCATCTAACTAACCCTAACCATTAGCAACATCTAAGTAACCCTAAGATTACCAACATCTAACTAACCCTAACCATTACCAACATCTAACTAACTCTAAGATTACCAACATCTAACTAACCCTAAGATTACCAACATCTAACTAACCCTAAGATTACCAACATCTAACTAACCCTAACCATTAGCAACATCTAACTAACCCTAAGATTATCAACATCTAACTAACCCTAAGATTACCAACATCTAACTAACCCTAAGATTACCAACATCTAACTAACCCTAACCATTAGCAACATCTAACTAACCCTAAGATTATCAACATCTAACTAACCCTAAGATTACCAGCATCTAACTAACCCTAACCATTAGCAACATATAACTAACCCTAAGATTACCAGCATCTAACTAACCCTAACCATTAGCAACATCTAACTAACCCTAAGATTACCAGCATCTAACTAACCCTAACCATTACCAACATCTAACTAACTCTAAGATTACCAACATCTAACTAACCCTAAGATTACCAACATCTAACTAACCCTAACCATTAGCAACATCTAACTAACCCTAAGATTATCAACATCTAACTAACCCTAAGATTACCAACATCTAACTAACCCTAACCATTATCAACATCTAACTAACCCTAAGATTACCAGCATCTAACTAACCCTAACCATTAGCAACATATAACTAACCCTAAGATTACCAGCATCTAACTAACCCTAACCATTAGCAACATCTAACTAACCCTAAGATTACCAGCATCTAACTAACCCTAACCATTAGCAACATCTAACTAACCCTAAGATTACCAGCATCTAACTAACCCTAACCATTAGCAACATATAACTAACCCTAAGATTACCAGCATCTAACTAACCCTAACCATTAGCAACATCTAACTAACCCTAAGATTACCAGCATCTAACTAACCCTAACCATTAGCAACATCTAACTAACCCTAAGATTACCAGCATCTAACTAACCCTAACCATTAGCAACATCTAACTAACCCTAAGATTACCAGCATCTAACTAACCCTAACCATTACCAACATCTAACTAACCCTAAGATTACCAACATCTAACTAACCCTAAGATTATCAACATCTAACTAACCCTAAGATTACCAACATCTAACCAACCCTAACCATTACCAACGTCTAACTAACCCTAACCATTACCGACATCTAACTAACCCTAACCATTACCAACATCTAACTAACCCTAACCATTACCAACATCTAACCAACCCTAAGATTACCAACATCTAACTAACCCTAAGATTATCAACATCTAACTAACCCTAAGATTACCAACATCTAACTAACCCTAACCATTAGCAACATCTAACTAACCCTAAGATTACCAGCATCTAACTAACCCTAACCATTAGCAACATCTAACTAACCCTAAGATTACCAGCATCTAACTAACCCTAACCATTACCAACATCTAACTAACCCTAAGATTACCAACATCTAACTAACCCTAAGATTATCAACATCTAACTAACCCTAAGATTACCAACATCTAACCAACCCTAACCATTACCAACGTCTAACTAACCCTAACCATTACCGACATCTAACTAACCCTAACCATTACCAACATCTAACTAACCCTAACCATTACCAACATCTAACCAACCCTAAGATTACCAACATCTAACTAACCCTAAGATTATCAACATCTAACTAACCCTAAGATTACCAACATCTAACTAACCCTAACCATTAC